TAAACTAAATGAATTTTTTTCTTGCCATACTCACAGTCTGCAGGCCTCGTCTCTGCGGCCACCCATCCATGTCGCTAGCAGAGGGGAAGGAGGCAGCCATGCAGCTCACAGACCTTCCTCCATCTCTCCTACATCCATGCTGCTGCCTCCAGACTCCTCGCCTCTGAGGAGAAAACAAAAGTTAAAGAGGATAGAAGAGTCATCTACTGGGTCACTTTTTATTTCCTGGATAGTATTTTATTATTCTATAAAAGCTTAATGAATTAAACTGTATTTATAAGGATTGGATAAATAATAAATCATTAATATCTGAGATCAGGATCCTTCATCTAAGCTTGAGTTGAAATGCTAACTGTGACCATATCTAGAATTTTACAAAACAAGCAACTAAAAGGTTTATTTTCATTTTAAAGTTTTAGGAAACTAATTCATCTTTATCTAAAGGAGTCAAAGCTGGTTCCTCTGTTATAACCCATAAATGAGCTGATAATAAAGCAGAAATAAAGGAGAAGTGTTGAGTGACAGGTTGATGGACCAATCAGAAGCCAGCAGCGGGTTTATTTTGGCCAGCAGGGCGCGTGGCAGCAGCAGCTGTTAGCAAACAAACAGTCCGAAATGCGCCTTTATCGCGACATGAACAAACAGCTGAAGTGAAGCAGAAGCTCCAGCTGAGCTCCAGCAGCAGCAGCGGGAGGAGAGGAGCCGCCCCGCCGCCGCGGCGGCCCGCAGGCCCATCGACAGCTACATGCTAGTTAGCATTAGCCTAGCTCCCCCGGTGGTTAGCCGCAGCTAAAGTTTTCCTTCAATTCTCTGATTTTTCCTACCCTGCCTCCGGACGGGAAGGAGCCGCTCTGAGGACAGCTTCCGATCCAAAGGGAACAAAAATCACTTCCTTTCCTCCATTTCTGAGGCTAAAATCAGGGAGACGCTCCAAATCAGCAGATTTCTTCCCCAGTTTTAGCCAGACAATTAAATCACAACGTCCGATCATCAATTCTATTCATGATTGTGACGTATGCGTAGACAGGAGCCAATCAGCGCCTGAAATCATGGCAGTGACGGTGCAAGGGGCTGAAAGCTGAGCCCATAAGCCCCGCCCACCTTTGGGAGGGGGGTTCTCTGATGTTAGATAGGGATTATAATCACTGCTGGAAGCTGTTTACACTTTAAACTTTAATGATTTACTTTATTTCACAGGTTCTGTTTTATTGTGACTGAATAATCTGCATGTTAAGAGTCAAAAGAATTATTAGTTCCAACTAACAAGCTGTGATTAACCGCCGTTGGTTCTTACTATTCCATAAATTCATCTATAGAGATGAGGCCAAATTATCCTTCCTTCCTACAATCTGCCCATTTTAGGATAACTAACCAGAACACTAACTAAAACACTAACCAGAACACTAACTAAAACACTAACCAGAACACTAACTAAAACACTAACTAGAACACTAATAACTAGGTAATATATATTACTTTACTGAAAAAGAATTCACTCAGTCTACATTTAGGTCTACATCTATAGATGGAAGGCTGAGCCGTCACACCAGTTCCTACATTTGATCTTATTATCCTATTTTAAAATTAACTTATTTTTGTAACATTGTATTGAACGCATTTATGTTTTGTCTATAAACAAAGTTAAGAACTTAACTTAAATAAACAAATTTGTTTATCTCAAATCAACCAAAACAGAACAAGTCGAATTCTGAAACACTATGTAGGTATTATAAAAAAAAGACAAAAACACTAAACTAAAAAAGTAGAACAATAAAAAAGAGTTTGTTTAGCAAATTATCCACATCTACAGATATACATCTATAGATGAAAGTTCACAGTATGGATGAAAATGTAACAGCAACATTCATGTTAGATTTTATTAATAGTTTCATTTTAAATAATACAAATGTCTGTAACAATTTATCAAAAGTATACATGCAGGTAAAATAATTATTGAACAAACCACAATTTCCCTGATTAAATATAGTGATAAAGGGATTTTCTATTCTTTTATTCTAACAATCCACGCATACATAGAAATCCAAACATAGATTTGCAGTAAGTGATGTGTAATAAAGTATAATGGTACATGGAAAAGCATTGAGCACATTTACTGACATTTCTTTAATACTTTGTAGAAAAGCCTTTGTTGGCAATAAGACGCCTCCTGAATGGAGAGATAAATGGCATGCATTGATCAGGTGGGATTTTGGCCCATTCTTCCACTAGGAGTCTTCAAATCTTGAAGGTTTCATGTTTCTCTTCTATGAACTCTGATCTTTAGTTATTTCCATAGATTTCCTATTAGATTCCAGTCAGCTGAGTGGCTGGGCCATTCTAGCAGCTTTATTTCTTCTCTAGTTTCCTTGGCTGTGTGTTTGGACTCATCGTCTTGCTGAAATGTCCACCAACGTTTCATCTTTATCCTGCTGGTAGATGGCAGCAGATTTTTATCCAGAATGTTTTGGTACATTTTTCCATTCATCCTTCCTTCAATGATTTGATGTTTGCTGAAAAACAGCCCCACACCATGAAGCTCCCACCTCCACACTTCACTGTTGCTATGGTGTTTTTTTGGGCTGGTGTGCAGTGCCCTTTCACGTCAAAACATGATGTGTATTATGGCATCCAAGGAGTTCCTCAGCTGTTCAGCCAGGCTAACCATTCCCCCTAACGACCCCCCTTTCATAGCCATAGCCAGGTATGAGGCATTGCAGGCTAACAAAGTAGCCAAATGATAAAACCTGGAACTAAACTCTATTTCTGACATTTGAATTGAAAAAAGAGAAACGTCTTTAAACCTGGAAACAAAGTCTAGGGGATTAATTTTTCTGTTTTGTTGGAATCTAATCAGACTATATTCTCCCAGTATTTCACAGCCTGGTCTAAATGTTTTGCAGCAAACTTTAAAGGAGCTTCAGCAGCTTTTCCTTCAGCGGTGGAGTCCTGCATGGTGAGCGTGCTACAGGCCATGGCGGCTGACCGCGTCACTGATTGTTTTCTTTGAAACGATTTCCTGCTGATTCCAGGTCTTTCTCTCCACTAGTGGTCTTTGGCTCTTGGACAACTCTTCTGATCATTCTGTTCACTCAGAAATCTAGCAAGGAGCACAGGTATGGAGTCAGAAAGGTGCCAAAATGTTTGTTAAATTACAAATCTTATTTAAAACCGAAAAATTAACATTTGAAACCAGGAAAACAGAAGTTGAATGTCATTTTTTTACCTTTATGATTAATAATCTGAAAAAGATAAACTGAAAAAGTCTAAATGAAATAAATCTAAATTCTTCTTCTCAGTTTTAGCAAATTCATAATTCAGATTAGTATCTTAATTACACTTTTTTAAAATTTATTTTCTTTATTGCAGTTTTAGATTTTTAGATTTTCAGTTTCAAATCTATTTCGTTCATTTTCTTTTTTTTTTTGTTTCAAATTCCTTTTTCAGTTTCAGGATTATTTTTACACTTTTTTCACATTCAGATTTTGACCCCAATCTGACAGGAGTGGGCGGGGAAAGGTGATTGACAGCTCGCAGCATCTGGAGACGTGTCCCATTCCATGCTGCATTCATGGACTGTGGGAACTCCAACTACTTGGTGAACACATTTTCTACAGCATTTATTTGCCTTTTTGGCAAATTCCCGTGATTTAAGACATTTACACTGGAACTGTCACTAATAATCCTTCCAGAATGCGTTAATATATATAAAAATAAGCAGTCATTGAATAAACCAAAGAACGTTCCCATGACCTCAATGTAAATTTTGCATCCGTTCACTGAAGATGCCGTCTGCATTGAGAGGTTTAATCTTTTAAAAACTACTTTCTAACAGTCCTAAATAATGCACTAAAGAAGAGAAATAAAAAATAATAAACTGAATTATGTGCTTTTTTCAAGCTGAGGGGAAGAATTTAGATTAAATGCTTATTATTTTATGTTTACTTTTGAAGTTCCTCAGATTATAATGAAAACAAATCACATTCAGTATCAACATCTTTGTCTTCTGTTTCAACTTTTACTTTTTCACTTTAAACTAAGATTTCTGAGTTTACAACCATGTTGACTCCTTTCTGACTCCAAACTCTGGGGACTTAAAAGAGCAGTAAAGCTGGATATCATCAGCAAACAGATGATAGGAAACATTATCAAATCTCTGAATAATTTTTCCTAATGGAAGGACATACAGTAAAAACTAAATTGGGCCCAAAACAGAGCCCTGAGGAACCCCGCACAACAATTCAGCAGTCAGACAGGATCTGGTTTGCAGAGACACTAAAGCTCCTCCCTGATAGGTAAGAGAAGAACCATGCTAAGACCGGTCCCGACATTCCCACCAGGTCACGTTATCTAGTCAGCAAATGTGGTGGTTGACCACCAACCATGGTGGTTGAGAGAGAGTCTGCAGACATCATGGATGTAATGTGGAAACTTTAAGCAGCTCAGTTTCCGGATGCTTGCAGAAGCCAGACTGAAAAGTGACAAAAATTTTGTATTTTTCCAGGAAGGATAGCAAGTGATCAGATCCCACCTTCTCCACAACTTTAGATAAAAACAGAAGTTTTGAAATAGGTCTGAGGGCACACATTGAAATCTTGCTTGAGTATGTTGCGCTACTAGCAAGAGCTTATGTGTGGGAGAAAGTGAACCTCGCACATTAGCATTAACACCAACTGAGTGGCCAAGCATGGAGGTGGAAGCATCATACTGTGGGATTCTTCTTCTTCAACAGCGACAGGGTTATCAAAGTTTAAGGGAAATTGTTGGAATTAAAAGGGGGCAAATACTGTAGAGAAAAAAAACTCCTGTGTGGATTTGAGACAATGTAGAAACTTTAAGCTTTTGAATAAAAAAATAATATTGAAAGTATTTTGTTGCATTTTAACATCCATAGTAAATTCTCTGTGTTTTTTCCTCATCATAGCAGATTAATCTGGCCTGGTGTTCTGGCTAGCTGTGACACAATCCTGGAAGGCTTCTGCTGTCAGTGAATGTTATTATAGATAACAGAGTTGGACTAGTTTTTCAGTGTTCATTCCTGTTTTTCTCCTAGATGGGTTCAGCTTTTACTGTGACTAACTGGATGTGCTCTCCTTCCTCCCTCTGACATGAAGCCTGTATCAGAGCTCACCTACTTCAGACAGAGCCACCTAAGGAGCTAGTTTACTGTTAGCTTCTCTAAAATATAAAAGTATTTATGGATAAAAGCTTTGATTTTCCCTTGAACCCCCGGTTGGCCCTGGTAGGCTCCAGTTAGTCTGGTTCTGCTGGAGGTTTCTTCTGTTAAAACTGAGTTTTTCATGTCCACTGCTGCTGCATGCATGTATGAGAAATGACTGCAGAAAGGAGGACATAATGCAAGTGAACATCAACTGTCCCAACATGCTCCTCCAGGAGGAGCCAATCCTGAACAGTCAGTCAATCACTACAACCTGCACGCTTTCCTTGGATGCATTTATTTTACTAATCTGTTTGGATGATTTGATTCAATTGTTTTTGTAAAGTGCCCTGAGATCAGGTGTGTTATGAACAGTCTAAAAATAAACTGAACCGAGTATAAAATATTCTTAAAACTAGTAAATTAATAAAAACTGTCTTGTCTTAGTGACCCCTCCAGGGTCTTTCTGCTTACTTTTAGAAAGTCGTCTCTCTGCAGGTACGCTGGCTTTCCCCCATAGGCCAAAAATGTGGATTTGGTTTAATTAGTCAGTTTAAAATGTGTAATGTTTAAAAGAGGACCCCAACACCCCAACACACACACACACACACACACACACACACACACACAGAAATGTTTTGCCTCACTATCTTTGTGGGGATTCCCCATTGACTTCCATTCATCTCCCACTCACCTCTACGTCCTAATCCAGACCCTCACCCTAACCATTACCAGCACAGACCTAATCCTAATCCTAATCCTAATCCTAATCCTAATCCTGAACTCAAGTCACACCTTAGTCCTGAATCTAACCCCCACCCTAAGAAAGGAACCTTTCCTCACGGGGGCCACTCATT